TAGCATTACAAACCAACAGCTAACTGATAAGAACATTTGCACAGGTCATACTTAGTGCAGCACGCTACGGTCGGCGATGGAAAGGAGATGGCGCGGTGTCACCTAATGCGAACACACTGGAAGAGTACAGTACGCTCGTCCCCGCGGAGAAAAGCGGTGAGCGAACGGGAGAGAGGCGGCGGAGCGGTTGATCAGCCATGCTAGGATACGCCGAATGCCCACCGCGATCATCGCCGTCGGCTTAGCTAATGCAGAATTGCAACAGATCCCAGCGCAGAGAGGCTACCGGCACAGCCGGAGAGAGATGGGCCGGTAGCAACGCAGTGTGTTCGCTCCAGCTCGTATTGGTTGCAAGCACGGCATGGCGGGAGTCAGCCACGGAGAGGACAAGGGCCCAAGTGTGCACTACCGTACCGAGGCCTCGCCCGCGCTAGTACCATATTGTGGTTTCCTCGCGTGTCGCCGTTCATCGACAAGCAAGCTTCACTGATTATAGGCAGACACCAGCAGTTCGAAGGCAGCGGGCCTTTCGTTCTTGACATCGTGAAGCCCCGCCGCGTTCAGTTCCTCTCCTTCGCAACGCGTCGTCGTCTATGGATGACCTCGTTATTGCGCGCGTCTGGGGCGAGGGCATTGTGCGGTACTCGTCGTCAAATAGCGCCACCAACGGGCCAAGGGCCTTCGATGAGTACCGCGCGTGCGCTGTCGTCATAGGGCACATCACCGGCATCAGGTGTCCGGGTCGAACGTCATCTAGGGCTGGGGGCTCTGCGGAGAGGGCTATGTAAGTCCGGTTCTCTCGGCCGCGAGTGCTGTGGCTTGCGTGTCCGGTGGGGTTGCCCAAGAAGCAGACGCGCGACGGCGAAGGATGGTCGTCACCCAGGACAGCTCGAGCGGCAGGTCGGGCGAGACATTGATGGACTATACGGACGCCAGACGGACGTCGTTCTCAGGCTACTGTACGAGTATTCACGTCGGACGCCTACCGAATCGGCCTGCGCGTTTTCGAAGTCCCCGGCGCAGTTGGCGCCACTGATCCATTCAGTCCACCGGTGTCAGGTCAGAATGTGTTTCTGCTGCGGTTCACCGGGTATGAGCAATACCGGGCTATCACAGTTGTTCGTTGTAGAGGGGGTTGGTTGAGTGTTGGTAGTACTGTAAAGTTTGTTAGCAAGTACAGTTGTTTTTACTTACCACAGCAATTGAATTGCCTTTACACACTATAACTTGGCTGATCTCGTTGAAGTGACGTGACGTGCTGAATGGATAGACTAACCACTAGCCTACCCACTGGACTGGAATACGTGGATACGAGTGGCGTGCGTGACTGAGACGTGACTACAAGAGTTGCTGATTAAGGTAAACAGCTTACCGATCAAGAATCACTAGAGGCACTAACAGGGGCTTGAAGTCACACAATAGACTGTTAAGCTGAACTGTAGTATATTGCACACTAGGATGCCGCTTGTTAGCTTATGTTACTAACTTGCAGAGCAGCAGCTCACAAGATCTACACTGAGAATCTGGGAGAACTTGACTTCCTCATCCATGGAAAACTGGGGGCCTTATATACATGTGGGGAACAGCTTTACTCATACAGATTACACTACTTAGTCAGTCCTTACTCATCCTTAGTCATGAACACAGCTATGTACTTCAAAGCGACTCATGTGGTACAGCCTGTACTGCCATATGACATGGGTCAGCCAATCACAAGTCAGTATCTAGCACTGCCTTGTATCCTATTTGAAATACATCTGGAGGCTGTACTCTGAGACAACATGTGGATTGCCCAGCAGGCCCTAACCAGTCCGGGGGCTGTGCGTAGGCTGTGCGTGGCTGTGCTCATGCTGTACTCATGACTATGCCACCAGTCACACTGCAATCTCAAAGCCCACGTGACCTTCTAGACTAGTCTCACATGACCATGGCTATGCACTGCAGGGGGCTGTGCTGTGAATGAGTAGTCTGGTAACAGGTCATATCAATAGAAAGGAAATAGAGGTATATACCATGTTCCTTGAGCCAAACAATATTGGCTCAGGACATCTGGACGGCACAAAGAAAATGCAACTGTCCCCAGTTGCACTCTGCATCCCTGGCCATAAAAAAAGAAAAAAGTCCTACTCTTCATCTTCATCTTCCATCTCCTCTTCACTATGCTCTTGTTCATCATACTCCTCATCATCCTCAATTTCTTCATCTTCATCCATATCCAGGTCTTCATCATCATCGGCCCAGTTCAATTCTTCAATCTGTTCTCTTGACACAAATGGGAGAAGTCGGAATGCTGCAATTCCCTGTCTCCACACTGCACCATCAAGTTCGGATAGAACATATGAACCTCCTTTTGTCTGGCGGACGACACTAAAAGGCCCTAGGTATCTTGGGTGATGCTTTCGGTCGGCACTCTGTTCGACTGCCTTATTACGCACCAAGACCAAGTCGCCAGGCTCATACACCTTTCTGTTCAATCTCCTCTGATAGCGTCGCTCAAAGACTTCCTTAGAACGCAAGCGTGTATGTTTCAGCAGTTGTGCCGCACGTGCAACATCATCTGGCTTCTTCATCAACTGCTTGATTCGTAATGCTAACAGATCACTGGTAGACATTCCTGCATGGAATCCATCTACTAACAGAGTCATTTCGGCCAGATCAAAAGGGAGGACTGGGTGTACTCCATACAACAAATAGTAGGGAGAGAATCCAGTAGATTGACTAACAGTCACGTGATCAGTGAAGAACGCATGGTGAACATAGTCGGGCCATTTGTCTGCATTGCCTTCACAAGTCTTGAGGATTGACTCACGAATAATGAAGTGCCCTCGTTCTACAACTCCATTAGCTTTAGAGTTGTAGCTGGATATCTTGATTTGTGGCAACTTATATCGCTTCATCAATTTCTGAAAGGCTTCTTTGAACTCAGAGCCATTATCAGTTACCACTTCACCAACAGCACCATACCGGCACAAGATCTGTTCAAAGAAAAAGGCTGCTACTGATTTTGCCTTCTTATTCTTCAAGGATTTACCTTCACTAGCTCTTGATAAATCATCTCGAGCCGCAATGATATACTTGAATCCTTTTGCTCTAGGCATCTCCATAATGTCTAGATAGATCTTAACAAATATAGTGGCAGGGGTGGAAATCACCAGTGGTACCTCAACCTTGCGAACACTGCGGATCTGGCATTGCTTGCACGAGCTTACATGATGATGAATGTCATTCCACATGCTTGGCCAATAGAACCTTTCCTTGACAGTATGCATCACAGCTTACTCTCCTCGGTGGCCAAGTCCTTCATGAGCTTGGGTCATAATTTCCAACCTCTTCTCAGCCTTCATGATCACTAGACGTGGAGGCTGGGTACCATTACGTCGGTACATCTTTTCATTCCTCATGAAGAAACGACTTGCACTCTGGATAAAGCGTCGTTTGGCTTGCTGTGTGTCTAAGAGAGGTAATTCAGTGGATGTGAGGAACTTCCTATACTGAAATAGAAGCCTATCTGCCTTGGTGTTGGCAGAGATGAACACATGGCCATGACTCTGACTCAATAGTGCAGCATAGGATGGGATGCACTCATACTTTAGCTGGCGATGGTGCTCCTGAATTTCTATGTTCAAGGCAATATCGTCTAGCCATGAGTGTCCTCTTCTTCAGTATCCTCTCCATCCGCTAGTGGACGTCTAGATAAAGCATCTGGACCTTTGTGTCGCTCTGCAGGTACATGGATGAGCTTGAAGGTAAAGAGCAATACTCCTTGTATCCATCGATTGATGGTTGCGTTAGGCTGTAGGTCTGGCTCATTGAGCATGCCTTTGATATACTTTGCATCCACTTCCACCTCTAGGTTTTGCACTCCAGTGAGGTATAAGCGGTAGGCTCGTAAGGCACGATACAGTCCATACAGCTCCAGCTTTGGCTGAGAATAGCGTGACTCTCGCTCTGACATTGGGATTGACCCATATCGGGCAGGTCTCTTGCGTCCGGCTTCATCGTATTGTGATAGGATGAAGCCAACTGCATACTTGCTAGAGTCAACGGATAGTACGACAGGATTGTCTGAGCTATAGTCAATAGGTCGTAGAGCTGGTGCTGATGTTACTGCACTTTTCAGAGCATCAAAGGCTACCTGACAGCCATCTGTCCACTCAAAATCTGTCTCCTTATGCAACAGCTGTGTCAGTGGACGAGCTACCTTAGAGTAGTTGTGAATCCATATCCGGACTGTTCCACATAGGCCCAAGAAAGCCCGAATGTCATGAACACTCTGTAGAACTGGCCAGTTAAGAATCTTATCAACCTTGTTTGACTCTGGTAATCTGCCCTCAGGTGTACATGTCTGTCCTACAATCACAACTTCGGGGCGACAGATTTGAGCTTTGTTAGGTGCGAAGGTTGCACCTGCATGTCCTACACGATGCATGACACGATGGACATCATTTGCATGTTCCCATATGAAGCGCCGAATGCCTGGATTGGCTTTCAATACTTCTGGGTTGCCATTCTCATCTGGATAGTCTGTTGCGGGTCCTCGAACAGGTAGATCATCTATGAAGATGTTGGCTATGTTTGGGATTTCATCCTGCAAGATGAAGGCCATACACTTCTGGAACTCAGCAGGTGAGTTGGTGAATCCCATTGGTAGCGACGTGATGCGAAGAAGACCTAACGGTGTCTGAAACGATGTCATGTCTCTACTCATGGGATGAACTTTTCGAGCATCAAATCCCCAAAACAGATCAAACACTGAGTAGCACTTCCGTCCAGCAAAATCTTCAACAAAGTCATCTACTTTTGGTGGTAGACCAGCGTCTCGAATTGATACCTTGTTCAAAGGTTGAAGGTCATGGACAATACGAAGTTTGCCATTCTTCTTAACCACGCAGAACCATCTCGAACGATAGGATGATTGGCTAGGCTCATAGACTCCTGCATTAATCTTCTCCTTTAGCAGGGCTATGACTTTCTCTTTGATCCCAGGTGGGATCGGGATATTGGCAAATTCCCATGGTTCATGCGGAACCACTGGAATTATGTATGGAGTGAAGTAGTCTTCTCGGAATGTTCCCCGCTGAGCTTCTTCAAAAGCTAAGGCTTTCTCGTTAAGCTTGAGGATGTGCTGAAAAAGCTTCTCCTCTTCTGGCCACAGAAAGCCCTTCGGATTGATATTCATCTCTTCCAAATGCTCAACCGTAAGGCGTGTTCCTGGCGTGAAGTCGGGCGGATGGATGGGTAATGGCTCTAACGAGGCTAGCGGATCTTCCGGGATGCGTCGTTCGACTCGTGCATCCTCTGGGAATACTCCCGGTACAGGCTTCACTCGTCGGTCAACGCGTTTGTAAGCTCCCAAGACTTCGTTACCGTAAAAGGCAAGTAGCTCTTCGTCGGCGTCTAAGTTCAGCGAGCTGACGAACGTGTCGTGGTCGTTGGTGCGACTCTCTTGTTCCTCCCATTGCTCGTGGTCGACCGTTATCAAACCCACATACGCCAGCCATTCATCTGTGAGTTCCATGCTTTCGTTCTCACGTTCATACTGACTCGCGGTCGCATATCCGGGTGTCGTAGTCGATTCGGAAGCTGAGACTGGTGGGCGTGTGCGTTGGGCGGAAGTTGCACTGTACGGTGGGCATTGCACAGAGCTTGGTACGCCCTGCTTAGCCGAGCTGACACATGCGAGCAACTTACTTGTCTCTAGGCGCGTCGAGGAGTTGCCTGGTTGGGTGAAGTGGCGAGTTGTCGGGTTGACGTGTCGAGAGAGGCGGCGACGTGCGAAGGTACTCGGGAGATTGCCAAGTTTGACATGTGCGAGGTCTGCAGAGGTTGCGGGATTCTGGGTATGTGGTGGACCACAAAGCTCTCGTTCCATAGCTAGTTCTTGTGCACCTATATTGGTCGAGTCGAGTCGCTGCGCACACGCGGAGTACCGAATACGGCCAATATATTCGGGGCTTTTCGAGGAATTTACATCGCAGACTTGTACACTACGACTGAGTCGAGAATGCAAGCCTAATATCGTACACCACATATAGTTCGTAAGAGTCGGAACCGAGGCGCGAGTCAAAACCGAGGCATACACACAATTCAAAGCAGAAGTATACATACAAGTCGAACCATAAGAGATAAACATAATTGCGAGG